CAATTTGGCAACGTTAATATTTATGTATCAGGAGAGATTTAAATCTACAACAATATCTCAGTAGAATCAATCTGCCTCATATTTTGGGAGGGTTGTTGTTGATAGAAGTTAAATGTTTTCTATCTTTTTTTAACAAGCTACCTCACTATTCTAGTAAATAACTTTTTTTTTATATTTATGCATATTTTTTTTTAAATTTTAAAAAATCAAACTGTATTCCAAAATATAACTTCAACAAAACTAGAAGATAAAAAGCATATCACCACCTCTAATAATTGTGTCCACACAAACATGTATATGCATAAAAGCTGAGTATCATCTACCATGTATACAATTGTGAAAGCAGAATAACATATATCATATCGGATTAAATGACCCATGAGGTATTGATATGCCGTAAAACAAACAAATCAATTAATCAACGATCACGAATTTTCACAGATTATATTCATTATTATCTATCAATTGTTATAAATGGAGTGGTTTCCTTCTCTGTAGTTCTGCATTTAGATTTTTCCTTGTCATAGTCTGGTTACCACACAAGACTAGAAGTTCCAGTTCATCCAGATATTTGACCCATAGCTATGTGGAGAAGAGGTTCATGTCTTTACCAAGGGTATTTATGCAACGGTGAACGTGACAGACTGACCCGGAACTTGAACTCGGTTCGCTGATTATATTTTTCGAGTTTTAAACTCGATTACAACCATCACCCGTCTAATATACTGACACCCAGCCAAAATACTAGGACATCATTTGAGATGTGAATTCCTTACAATAACAATGGGCTGTCATATCAATTCCCTAACCATCGCTCCGCGCCGAGTGACTCAGTATAATTTGTTTATAGTGACTTTTAGGTTCTACGTTCACTCCAGACCCCAAGTGGTGCACATACTACACCCTTGTGCAAATTAATTGAAACAACCGCTTTAGTTTCCCTTCTATCACCATTCGGTAAGTTTTAGACTCACTGGAGTGACGGGGTGTTATCAATTTCTATTCATACCTCAGATAAGGTCATTTGCAGTGGTGTGCAGTAATATGAATCTGTTTTCGGGATGTATGATGAAATTTGTTTGGCCTTGAAAATTATTGCGTCATCCGTGATTGCATCAGATTTTCATCACGCCCAGTTACTATTGTCTCGACTGTCGATTAGTTTTCCTACGACCATTGTTTGCGATGGACGCTACTACAAGAAAGCGTACACAAATTTTAACGCTGCACAAACACACTGGCAAGCCTTACCAGTGAGTAAATCAAAGTACTATAAATTGGTTCGAAATCTCTCTTGATTTAAATCCAATCGAGAATCTGTGGTCAATCTGCAAGGAACAACTTCGTGGAATGGACATACGAAGTACTAACATGTGCATTGGGTCATGTTTCATTGGAAAAATACGAAAAAAGTAAATAATAACGGAATTATTCGTTTTGTTTCAATTAATTTGCACAAGGGTGTAGGTGATCATGGCCCTCCTCATCTTCCTGTATAATTAATTTGCACAAGGGTGTAGGTTGAGAAAAAGTTATTTCAAGCAAGTTTTAATTGTTGTTTTATTACTTTCAGACATTCCACAAAATATCTCCCATCCTATTCTAGTGCCAGAAACTCAATTCAACGTTTATATCATTTGACTAATTTAGAGGTAAAAAATACCCTGCATTTGTTTTCAACCTCATCCACGTTGAACATCTGTCCGCGTAGGAAATGAGCCATGACTCGAAAATAATGGTAATCTGATGGTACAACGTCTGAACTGCAGTGAGCTTGAGATAGCACGTCCAGTCTCTCTAGTTCATCAGGTTTGCGTTTGGTCACACTGGAGGTGTGCGCTGGGCATTGTCAGGCTGCAGGAGTGCGCGTCTTCGATTGACCAATGACCAGTAGTAAACTTTCAAAGTATCATATACTTGCTGTATAAAGGTCAGCGCTCACAGCATGGCCATCTGGGACAGGCTCAAAGTACAATACTTACTGGAAATTCAACAAAACACAACATGAGCTACAATTCAAATCGCCCTTGTTTGACAAAAATGGAAATCTTGAGGATTTGCCAGCAGTTCTTTGCAAATGTTCCCAAGTCGTTGAGCCTTTGCTCATTGACAGGTTCATGTGGAGCATCTCGGCAGCTTATGGAGGTGTTAATCGATGTTGCTTTGTGATGGAGCAAATTTCTCCAACAATGTACGAATGCTTGCGTTTTTTAAAAGCCCCAGGGAAACCTCTGGTTGACTTCGAGACTGCCGTCACCTTCACTGAAACGTCTGAACCAGTTTTGTGCCACACATTCGTTGACAATTCCTGGCCTTTCCACGTCATTAATTTCTTTTGCCGCAGTTCAGTTCTTTTTACCTTAGGTATCATAAAATGGCTCTAATCGCAAATTTATTTGCCATTAAATATCAAAACTGTAAAATAAAGAATAAACAATTAAAGTTCATATGTTATATATATGAAAATAAAGAATAAACAATTCAGTAACGATTGGCAATAATTGTATAAAAAATAACGATATCACATGGAAATTGCCAAAGATCATCAGTGAAAATTCGTACAAACTTTAGAAAAAACCTGGTACCATATCTGGATATTTTTATCCCGTGACCCGTAGGGTCGTAAGGGCACCATGTGTAGTGTAGACACGGTAGAAGTGATGTTTCTTGGGCAGTATAGCCTGACGAAGCCCAACCCTCTCCAGGGCGATTTTGAATTCAGAGTTTTTCCTTCTTCTAGAACAGTTGCCATTCAAGGTTATATAACCCAGTCTGGGGGAGAAGAAAAGGATTCATACCTTTCCTAAAGGTATTAGCATGTAAATAAATACAATGTAGGAAATCAAGTGAGTCAACGTCCGGCCAACTAAAGGGAGTGTCTCAATAAAAACACTGTGGAGAACGCAAAGGGAAACAGTTCTCCGTAAAGATTAGGAAGAAAAAATCTAACTAATAAAACGCCACAGAGGTTGTTGAGAATATCTAATAGTGTCACAAGTCTCGCAAAAAAAAAAAAAAAAAGAAAAAAAGGTGCTTTTTATTGGCCTGTGAATTAACGAATCAGCGAAAGTCGAGATTTCCTGGCAAAAAGGAGTTTCTCCCCACCCAATTCTTCAGTAAGAACTTTCGTCTCATAGAAACGTGGTTATGCAAATGTTAGGATTTCATTTCACCATCTCTGTCACTGACAAATTGTCGGATAAACTTCCTTACTAGGGACAATAAAAGCAGCCAATACAGATCATATGCATTGTGCTATTTAATACTGTAAAAATTCTATATCCCGGTGATTTGATGTTCAGTAAGTGACAGAGAGAGTGCCACAACCGTGAAGACGTAACGGCGCAACTGATTCATACCACTACGGAACAAAAACCGTAGCCGCCAAACACCAATTCAAGTCACAAACGGAAACTGAGTGAATGCAATTGAGAGAGAGAGAGAGAGGGAGAGAGGGAGTGAGAGAGAGAGAGAGAGAGAAAACAGAGAGTCTGGGGTTGAAGGCATGAGAGAGTATGACTGGCACTGAGAGAGAGAGAGAGAGAGAGAGAGAAAAAGAGAGAGAGAGACAAAGATGAAGAAAGACTAGAGGGGCAGTTGAGAAGACAGATTGAGTGACTAAAAAAGAGATGAAAACTTAACTGGAAGATTTACAGAAAGCAATAGATCGATATTAAACAAAAGCAAAGGGAAGGGAACTCAGAGAAAAATAGATTGATAGATAGACTGAGCCTCAGAGACTGAGTGGAGAGAGAGACAGAGAGAGAGAGAGAGAAAGAGAGAGACTGAATGACAGACATTTTAGAATTTTTATACGACCAAAACTCTCTTTGTTATTGTGGCCCCCCACCCCTTATTTTGTTGACACAAATTCCTGGTCAGGTTTCGCTTCCATTTCCGTCATCGCTCTTTTATTGCAACGGCAGACGGACTTTCAGAGTTAACAAATATATGATTGCAGTAGAAAATGGCTGATTCTTTCTGCATTGCTGGAAAGAGGGAAAAAATCGATAGATTTTAAAACCAATGACCTGAAACATCTTTGTACACTGGTCATTTGCTTTAACTTTGCTACATATAACACATTTGCCGCCTTCGGTTGTGCAGACGCCATTTTGTAGGCAAAGTCAGTAACATTTGCACATGTGTTATCGATGGAATAAAATGTAACTCTCAAAAGATTTCTCTCTCTCTCTCTCTCTCTCTCTCTCTTCTGGAAAGAAATGCGTCTATGCTTATTCTCCTAATAAAGATACTAGTTTTTAAATCGGCCTTTCTAGAGTTTTCTCGAACAATATTTGATATAATCGAGTTGTTTGGACAAAAGACTATCAGTAAAAGCATTATTTCTTGAAGTAACAAAATAATAGTTGCTGTGAATTTTAAAACACACCCAGTGCAATCAATGGATTTCTGAATTTTTCTTCATGTCTCGATTATCTCATGCAAATCCACCCGCTTTTAGGAAGTCGCTAACACCATTCATGTCCTTCACACAACCGAAAAATGGTCCTTTTAGGACACTGTTCCCCCACCCCTGGGGAAAAATGAAGCATCACATGGTGATTAGTGAGTAAATAAAATGTTTCAAAGTTGTCGAATCATTCTTTGTTTCTTGTACACTTTTTTTCAGCATTGCCAGAGTCTCTAAGGGACTCATCCCCTCAGTCGTTTTTTTTTAAATCATTTCACCCCAAGAAAGGCGATAATGCCACTAAGGTACAAGGGGCTATTGATTGCTTGATCGATTCGATTTCTACAGTTTATCAACCATTTGAAGGTAATTTAAAGCCAGAAAATGTAACTTTATTTTGGTAGGTGGAGATAATACTGGTTCAGTTATACAAGTCTTACTATTTAACCCATAGCTGGGAGAGAAGACCTGTATTCATACCTTTCCCAAGGTTATTCGAATATAACGAACCCAACGGGAATTGGAACTCGGCTCTCCGATTAACAATTTCTTAGTCATTACCTATTACGCCATCCGTATATCCAAGCTTACAGCACCTGGTATTCCCAAGCGGTCACCCATCTTGGTATTGATTAGCCTCGACGTTGCTTAAGTTCGGTGATCGTACAGGGCCGGTGTTTCAACGTGTTTTGGCCGTGAGCCATGGAAACTCAAAGTTTTAGTGTCTCAACGTGATGCGGAGAAGGGATTATCGAGAGTGAAAGAAAACAGCTGTAGACACCAGTGATGTGAGATAATCACTTAATCCAGCTATACAACAACGATTGTGGTCAACATTTTGAGTCATAGAATCATATATGATGTCGTGACTATGGCAGAGTAATCTACTCCTAAAGCGCAGTCAGATTTGCCGGACTCGAAGCAGTTGTTTTGTAGATCATTCATACTGTATCTGTCTATATTTCTGAGATGAGGTATTATGTACACTATTTACATTATTCGGACTATTGTCCTCATCTTTGTCGACATATTTATTACAACAAAGTAAATAAATAAACAAGCCACTCCCGCGAAAATAATCGCCAGAATGGATTATCCACAATGCACCATTGACTATAAATAGTCGAGAAAAATCAAACACTCGCGGCCTGACGATTGCGTCTAGCATGAAACAGCCTATCGCCTGTGACTGTTGACTTCAATGTTTGCTTTTATATATATATATATATATATATATATATATATATATATATATATATATATATATGTGTGTGTGTGTGTGTGTGTGTGTGTGTGTGTGTTTTGTGTGTGTGTTTGAAAGGATTTTATTTTGCAACAATTATTTACAAACAAAAAAAAAAATCTCTCTCCCCCTCTGTCTGTCTGTCTCTCTTTCTCTCTCTCTCTTTCTCTCTCTCTTTCTCTCTCTCTCCCCCCTCTCTCTCTCTCTATATATATATATATATAGAATATAAAAAATATAGTTGTAAGGTATGCTATATTTATGGATAAAAGTGTTCAATATCAGAGATAGAGTTCATGTAGATATAAAAATTGAAACTGAAGACAACACGAAGTGGCAATAAGTTGTTTTATGCTTAGACACAACTTTTAGGTCACGTCTATTTTGTTTTGAGTCAACTGTTTATATATTCAACATACATCGCCTGAACATTGTGTTCAAGTATGAAACAGGCTGTCGCCGCTAAATGTTGACGTCAGTGTCCACTTATATATATATATATATATATATATATATATATATATATATATATATATATATATAAAAGGTAATAACTCTGTTGGTATATAATCCAAGTAGATCCTAGTAATATAAAATATTCAAACTGATCCACAAAAGAGCTCAATGTATTTGTTACAGAGCAAATAAATAGTAGTACAAATATAACTAGTTTTTGATAAAACTTTCTTTAAAATTAAAATTTTGTTTCTAATGTATAATTTATTTTATCTTATTATATTTTTATTTCTAAATATTTTTTATTCTTTAATATAACAATTTCGTTTATTAATTATAATTTTTTAAAAATATAATTTTACTTTATTTTTATATAAATTATCGAAATATAACTTATTTTTACTTTCTTAAATATATCTTATTTTTAAGTATAGTTTATCTTGGGTAGGAACTTGTATTTTTAAACTTAACCAATTTCTTAAAAAAAACCCTTTTCGTTCCTCTCTTAATTTCAAATGAATACTTCATATAACCTCAATTTAATGTCACAATGCCTCAAAGGGGGAAAAGACTGAGGCTGGTCGTCACTTACTCTCTTATATCTCTCTAACCCGATTCACGACCCATTCATTTATAACAAATTGCACATCCACCATAAGAACTTATCCTTCATCCTTCAATCCTCCATTTACGCATACTTTCAAGGGACCAACATAAACACATCGCCATAACACTAACGTTAACCCTAGCCTTGTTTCTCTTGTTACGGAAAACACAATGGTCTGCGTTTTTGAGTTGCCATATATGCTTTGATAGGGTAGTACATTTTGCCTAATTTCTATTGTTAAATGTTGTTTAATGTGGGTAACTTCACTGTTTCCAGCAGTTCCTTGGCAAACAATTGAAGTAATCCCATAACATCATTATTTTAGTGTTTTCTTTTTTGTTACGAATTGCTTATAATGTCTGCTTTTATTGCGCTAATAAAAGTTTGTACCCTTGCGAAAATATTTCAAAACAAACTTTACATATCTTTGTTCAATACCTATGAATAATTTTCATTTTTTATTTCGAAATGCAGACGAGAAAACTGTACAATTTACTTCCCTTGAAAGAATAAATAAATACATTTCTTGAGACTTTTTTTAAAAACAGAAATTGCCACATTGATAAGCATTTCTCCGTAGAGAAAAATCTCGTAAACTGTATTCTAAAGTAGATTTTTACGTGTCTACGTTTCCATAGCGAAAATCGCCAGTAGTTAATTTTTACTATTTACATCATTCGGCTGTTGTCCTCGTCTTGGTTGCCATATTCACGACATTTCGGCCGTTGTACAATCCGGCCTTTTTCAGGTGATTAGAATTTTGAACCAAACCATTCATTATTCACCTCTGCTGTGGCCGGGCATTCAACTCACAACTCTGGCTCACAAATAAAAACATGAGTTACTAAAGGGAAACAACTAAAACTGAGATCTAAGCAAGCGGCATGGCACGTGGAACTAGAAACATCTACCACGGTGGACGAAATAAACATATGACAACCAAGATGATGACAACAGTCCGAACAATGTAAATAGTTACAATACCTCATTTAAGAAATATAAACAGACATTAATTTTAACGGACATGTGAGTTGTTTTGCAGTCGGGAACGACTCAAATTATACATTATTTATATAATTCGGACTATTGTCCTCATCTTTGTCACAATTACAACGTTTCGGCCGTTGAACGCTCCGGTCATCTTCAGGTGTTTGGAATTGAACTCACTCTTTGGGTCCTGGTTAAGGCAGTGGAGAACATTCAGAGGGGAATTAACAGGAGATAACTGATATCCATTAGATATGGCACGTGGAACTGGAACAGTCTACTCCAGTGAGCGAAATAAAGGGTTCAGTTCGACATTCCAACCGCCTGAAGAAGGCCGGAGCGTACAACGGCCGAAACGTTGTAATAAATATGGCGACAAAGATGAGGACAATAGTCCGAATAATGTAAATAAAGTACATAATACCTGATCTCAGAAATATAGACAGATACTGAAAGGCCGAAACATTGTAATAAATATGGCGACAAAGATGAGGACAATAGTGGGAATTATGTAAATAATGTACATAATACCTCATCTCAGAAATATAGATAGATACTGAAGGGCCAAAACGTTGTAATAAATATGGCGACAAAGATGAGGACAATAGTTCGAGTAATATAAATAATGTACATAATACCTCATCTCAGAAATATAGATAGATACTGAAGGGCCAAAACATTGTAATAAATATGGTGACAAAGATGAGGACAATAGTCCGAATAATGTAAATAATGTACATAATACCTCATCTCAGAAATATAGACAGAGAATCCAATTATTTTTACAAAACTGAGGTGGTGTCCCGACAAACTTTCTTTAAAAAAAAAAGGCTCGCGATTCTGAAAAAGTTGAAACATCTACTCTAAATATCGTATAACATTTGTCTCTCAAAACTTAATACCTTAAGCTCCATAATAAAATCCAAGGAAGAATCCGCAATATTATTGGTCCTGATCCGGCAGCTCAGCTCCAGTGACTTTCCTACCGCCGTAAGGTTGCCTCTCCGTCTCTTTTCTATCGATACTTTCATCGTAATTGTTCAGATGAGCTCTTTGCTATGGTACCGGGACTTTTAAAATTTAAGCGCAGTACTAGACTAGCGTCAAGATCTCATCAATTTAACAATTGAGCTGGCTAGATGTAGCCGCAAATTCTAGGCTGACAGTTTCTTTTTTTCGCACTTCTCACTTGTGGAACTCTGTCCCGGCTCCATTTTTTTTCAGTCAACTTTAATCAGCAAAAATTTAAATACAATGTCAATCGCTATCTACTGTCTTACTGGTTACACTTTCCTCTTCCTGCTCATTATTAATGTCTCTGTTCCTAATTCTTCCACTCCCAGAAACCCCTTGTGTCTTAGTGACTTTATTGCCTTGATTGGGGTGAAATCGATTAAAAAAAATATAAATTCTTATTTTAATCCGGGGTGAACCAGATTAAAACTTTCTGCAAAAAGATAAAATTCTGAAAATTCAGTGTCTATTATACGCCAGAGATGTTTGTTTCCTAGCAACTGGCAACCGAATTTTAAGGTTGAGGATTATGCATGAGTGAGAGATATATACGAATAACTGCAGAAATGAATAATTATAGTAATCATAATTGTTTTCGATAAAAACAAGGTTTTGTAATAGATAAGAAAAAGAATGAGAAGATATAGACAAATATGAGAAAACTTCCGAAGGATGAGCCAATGGATAATTTTAGTTGTATTGGAAGGGATAAGGGAGACAATTGGAAGATACAGGCAAAGAGTAAAAGCACTGAAGATGCATGAGATAATAGATAATTTTAGTTGCAGTGATAAAGGAAAAGATAAGAAGATACAGAAAAAGACTTGAGTAGTGTAGAGGCAAGGAATGAGAGAACAGCATAGTCAGGAGTTGCATTGGAAGGGATAAGGGATACAATGAGAAGATACAGGCAAACGGTGAGAGTAGAGCAGATGAATGAAATAATAATATTAGTTTTATAGGAAGGGATGAGGAAGAGAATGAGAAGATACAAGCATAGTGTAATGGAAGAGCATAATCATGAGATAATGAATAATTTTAATTGTATTGAAGGATAAGGGAAGCAAGAAGAAGATACAGGCAAAGGTTTAGTGAAGCGAAGGATGCATGTATTAATAGATAATTGTAAAATGTATCGGAAAGGATAAGGAAGAGAATGAGAAGATACAAGCATAGTGTAATGGAAGAGCATTTTTCATGAGATAATGAATAATTTTAATTGTATTGAAGGATAAGGGAAGCAAGAAGAAGATACAGGCAAAGGTTTAGTGAAGCGCAGATGCATGTTAAATAGATAATTGTAGTTGTATCGGAAAGGATAAGGAAGAGAATGAGAAGATACAAGCATAGTGTAATGGAAGAGCATAATCATGTCAGATAATGAATAAT